AAATTGGATAGACCCTTAGAACCCATGAACTATCTGTTAGCCGTATCATCACCCGTAGGGGGATCCATGACATGTGCTTATATGTACCCCGCATGTGAAATTATTGTTGGGGATATGCATCTGTTTATTGATTTAATGTATGTCCTATATTCTGAACTGTATTGTGGCATCCTTAGCACCTACTGTTTACTGTTACTGTTACAGAGATCTCTGTCGGTTCCCTCGTGGAGCCACTACTGTTTACTGACTGATGGCCATCATTACTGTTCGGTCTTTTAAGACCTACTGTTACTGATATGCTAATGGATGTACCACATATGACTGTTTACTGTACTGAGCAACTGAAATACTGATTGAAGTGAACTGTTTTCATTACTGTAAGGACATTCATTCTAAACCCCTTTACGCTTTATGTTATTCACTGGGCTTTAGCTCACTGCTCATATATATATGTAGGTGTACAGGCACTGGATCAAAGCTAGAGGCGTCAGGGTTTTCCAGTTTTGTCAAGCCAACCACCGTGCCTCACTGCGAGGTTCCGAGTTCGCCATGCTATGGCTTGGGGTGTCTTTTCCCCCACTAGTTCCTGTTACTGTTTGTATTACTGTATTGTGCTGCTGTACTGTACTGTTATCAAGGGATTAGATCCCTGTACTGAATGTCTGTAAATGCTTGTATAGCCTGTACTGTTGTGATTATATGAATGCATGAAAAATCTTTTTGGCATACAGACTGTCACAGCTCATTGGGCATTGTTTATTTACTGTATTGGCTTCCGCCAGGCCCTGTATTCTGTTTTACTGGATTACTGTTCTGCAGGCCTTCGGTAATCTCGGATTACTGGCCGGTTACGGTGCTAAACCCATAGGGCCGGGTTTGGGTCGTGACACATAGATAATACAGGCCACTTCATTTCTCTTCCTCTCTCCTTGGTTCATCATTTGAGCCAAGCATTCTCTAAGTGGAGCTTCACAGTTGGTGTTAATAGTTGACACAGGAGTTGGGAAATCTCCGGAAGAGGTGTCGCGGTCGGTTAGGCCGTTTGGGATAGGGCGGAAGATGAGATGGGAGTGGTTGGAAGGGTTGGGAGAGTTGAAGAAGGTGTATGCAATTGTGATGGAGAAGCCTTTAGAGTGAAGGGTAGTGCCCAGTTCCATCATAGGACTTATGTGCCCTTATATTGGACATGGTACTAGCACCACCACCGTCCACCACCTCTTTCTCTTCCTTGATTTTTCATTCTCTTTCTAAATTGGTGGTTGCAATATTGCTTTAACAACCCTTTCGAAGTTTATATATTGAGTAATGTAAATACACAGTTTCTTATTATTGGATGGCCACACTAAAATTCGCAATAGATTAGGGGTTGGTTTGAGAAGTGGGTTGGCTTTTTAACTTTTTGACTATTTTATTCTAGTGTTAAAAAGTCTTGTTTAGAAAGGATTTTTTGGCTTTTTGACTTTTTGTTAGGGAAATAATATAATGATTGTGATTTGAATATGATGCTTTGTTTTATTAGGCTAAAAAGCCTATTTTGTCTTTTTGTGACTAAAATAATCTTAAACCCAATCCAATCATTCTTTTCAAACGAAGCCTAAATACACAGTTTTTTTAGCTTTTTAGTATGTTTAGAAAGAATTTTTTCATTTTTACAAAAAGATGTGAAAAAATAATATAAATAAAGGCAAAATAGGTAAATTGACATTTTTACCCTTTAATGTAGACAACTCTATATCCACCACCATGTTACTTTACCTAACATGCTCTCAGGTGAAGTGATAAAGACAAGAGGCTCGACATGTGTAGCAACATATAAGGAGGGGAAATACAGGGTTGTTAGCATCATATAATGTTGGTACGGATATAATATAATGGACTTAACCGATTTTGATATGTAAGAATATGGTTTTAAAAAAAATGTACAAATTGGATCTCACCAGTTTTCGAACTCAAAAAAATAGTTATAAAGGAATTTTTTTTTTTATAATTTCATTGGTGAATTATGTTAAAATTTGTGGAATGTAATAATTATATTAAATTTTTTCCCAAAAAATCATTTCAGGCAATTTTTTTCACAACTTCCCTAGTAATTATATATATGTCCGAACTCTTGTCAAATGTTCATTATAATTCAATGACCACATCCATACCAAATTCTTTGCAAAACTCAGATTTTTCCCAACAAATATATAGAAACAAAGCAAAGATTAGACTTCACCAATTTGGTATTCCAAAATAATTTCTCATTAAAAAAAATAAATATTTAACGAAAATGTTTAATTTATGATTTGTGAAATATAATCAGTTTGTTTGATTTGGCTTTTCAAGATTCACTTATCAGAAAAATAGAATTCGTTTGTATCGCTTATGTTTTGTTTGGTACACCTTGAATAATTTTATTATGCTAATTCATTTAACTATTACATACACGTAAGAGCCGATTCTTCAGTGGCAGCCAGGGATTTCATTCGAGTGCTTTTGGCGAGTAGGAGTTTGAGGGGTGCGTTTTTGGGCAGAAACAAGGGTATTGTAGGTGATACAGTTCTGTCCGGTTGGCACTCATGCGCTCCTCCTCGAGGGAGAGTTTGAAGGGTGAAGTTGGGTGTTGTTTTTGTCGAGTTTGCCAATGGGTGTTGGTCTGTGGAGTTTGGCAGCAGAGGCATAGGTGTGGGTTTTGGGTGTGAGCGAGAAGAAGGCCTGGGGTGGGTGGGTTTCGGCAGTGGGTGTTCCCGGGCAGTGGGTGTTGCAGCAGGGGTGTTTTTCTGTCGGCAGTGGGTGTATTCGGCAGTGAGTGGTGTTCCCAGTCGTGGGTGTTGCAGCAGGGGTGCTTTCTGTCGGTGTATTCGGCAGTGGGTGGTGTTCCCAGTGGTGGCTATGGTGTCTCCTTGGTAGAGGCGTGCCTAGAGGTGGCGTGGACAGCAGCTTCGAGTGGGTAGCTGAAGTGCAGAGGCGTGTATTGTTTCTTGCAGCAGAGGCGTGCTGGGTCAGGTCACGCAGCAGAGGTGTGTTGGGAGTTGTAGCTGCAGAGGAGTGGTTTAGTGTTGTTAGCTTATTTTGGGTGATGGGTTAGTTCATTTAGTTAGTCGTGGGTGTTTTTGGTGGGTTGAGTATGTGAGGATTCTTGTATTTTAAATTCTCTAGTTAAGTTCTTCTTAGCTTTTTTGGTTAAAAAAAAAAAATCGAGAGGCTTAGGGGTTGGTTGTATGGATGCGAGTAGCAGTAGTAGGGATATTTTTATACTGCCGAATCTCTCTCAATGCATGTCATCTTCCTGTACTTTTAATTTCATGCTGTTTAATGAAATTTTTCTTTGCTGATCAAAAAAAAAAAAAACCATAAAAACACTGAAAAAATATAATCTGCGTGAAAAAAATCTTTACAAATTTAAATAGCAATAATATAAGCAGTCCCGCTACGTAGGCCGAATTCATTGTGGCCCGAATGGCTTGAGGTGCCAAAACAACATCGTTTTGGCATCTTCTTTTCTTTTTTCTTCTCCTTTTTCCCCCATCCCCCTCTCTTCTTCCTCTTCTTCCTTCTCTGATCTGTTCCGCTCTACTCTTCAAAAAAATCAAAATCTAAATCAAAAAATCGAAATAAAAAAAAAACCACCAAATCCAAAAACAAATCAAAATAAAAAACAAACCCACAACAATTGAGGAGATGAGAGGAAAGAGATAGAGTAGAGACAGATCTATGTGTGTATATGTGTATACACACATAGATCTGTTGAGAGAAGAGGGAGGAAGAGACCCACCGCCGTGCCATCATCGTCGTGCCATCGCCTCCGTCGTGCCGCCATCACCTCCGTCGTGCCGCCATTACTTCCGTCACGCCGCCATCACCTCTTCTCTCTTTTTTCTCTCTTCCTCCCTTTTCTCTCTTTCTTCTTTCTGCTCTATTCTGTCTTCACTCTTCTCCTTGTTTCAGAGATAAAAGAGAAGCAAAAAAATTCTAAACGACGTCGTTTTGAATTTGGGCCACTTGAGCCTCAGAAATTTCGAGCTCTGAAGCATTTTTCCAATATAAAAAATATTGTTCATCAATGCAGTACATCTGTTGTAGTTCTAGTGTAATCAAAAAATTGTTAGAAAAAAACACGGAAACACGAAAATTGCTGACTTCAAATGTATTCACTTATAGAAAACATATAATAGAACACGGAAACACAAAAACCCAAAAAAAAAAAAAAAAAGAAATTTGAATGTAGAAAATTTGAACCACACAGAGTGTGAAATTTTGTGAATCTTATGTTTTACAAATATTTTCAAAAATCACTACCAACATGTTTTCAGAATTTCATTTCTCTTCCTCCCTTTTCTCTCTTTCTTCTTTCTGCTCTATTCTGTCTTCACTCTTCTCCTTGTTTCAGAGATAAAAGAGAAGCAAAAAAATTCTAAACGACGTCGTTTTGAATTTGGGCCACTTGAGCCTCAGAAATTTCGAGCTCTGAAGCATTTTTCCAATATAAAAAATATTGTTCATCAATGCAGTACATCTGTTGTAGTTCTAGTGTAATCAAAAAATTGTTAGAAAAAAACACGAAAACACGAAAATTGATGACTTCAAATGTATTCACTTATAGAAAACATATAATAGAACACGGAAACACAAAAACCCACAAAAAAAAGAAAAAGAAAAAAAGAAATTTGAATGTAGAAAATTTGAACCACATAGAGTGAAATTTTGTGAATCTTATGTTTTACAAAAATTTTCAAAAATCACTACCAACATGTTTTCAGAATTTCATTGATAATTACATCTATACACTCTTTTTGCAATACTTTTTAATGAACTCTTTCAAACTTGAAAATAAAATTGGTTTGAACTTCTCTGTGCAAAACTCCATTAAAAAGTAATGCCAAAACTTATCTGTAAAACTCCAACCAAACTCTGCTACCAACAGCTTCCACCATATAAAAACTTAAAGTTAAAAAAAATACACAAGCTGTCTTCTCCAATTTCCTGAAACATAGCATAGTATTGACATGCATCGCTTAACATTTGCAGCTAGTGAGCATTACGGCTAATTTGGACCAACTCTACCCTGATTTGAGCCCACACCTGCGCCATCTCAATGTCGTCGTCCCCAGATATCAGGGCATCGTCAAGGGTAGCCAAATCATCTCGGTCAGGCATATCCGGATAAGCATACTTTGTCACATTGGTGACAGCTACAACTATCTCATCGTCTTGACTATTTCTACATATAAAATTATGTAAAGCCATGGATACTGCAACCAATGGCACCTGCACTTTACGAAAATCAAACCAAGGCATATCTTTAAGAAATCTCCATCGCGCCTTCCAAGCACCCGCTCAATCACACTTCGCAAAGATGAGTGTGCACAGTTGAACAACTCATTATGGTTTCTTGAATTGTGCCTTTGAAATTCCGGTTTGTTGTATCGGTTGCCTTTGTATAGTGCTAGGACGCCCTTCTTATTGCTATATCTACAAGATAATAGCAGCCTATCAAACACGAAATGTTCATAACATTTATATAGACACGTGTATGGGTAATCAAATGGAACCTGATAAGGTACAAAAATTGCAATAACTTTTCACGCTCTATGAAAGAAATATTTTTTTCGTCGCAACATCAAGTCATATTTTTTATATGCTTCCAACATCAAGTCATATTTCTTAGTTGATTTTTGAGAAAAATAAAACAATTGTTATTAATCGTGACCTAATTTAATTTTTTCATATAAACCAAAAGATAATAATCCATCATAACATAAATTTTCAATTCACACCAACTATATCTGAGCAAATCAAAAGATATTCACAAAAATATGGATTTGGGTGTATGTACTATCGAGTGGAGTAGGGAAATTTTATTCTGCATCCTCGGTTACATTGCTCAAAACCCGACTATCATGCATGATGCCCTCCCACCTGTAAGATACAAACACGAATCACATGTTAACATCACACACCGCCAAAATGTTCTGAGAGTGGCACCTATTTCGACTGAAATACATGGCTGCTTCTGACTCCTTTATGCATGCTATCACGTGTGTCTCATCCAAGGCACCTAAGCAATCATACACATCACGTAAGCGACAGTCGCACATTAATATCAACAAATAAATTGAATGTGTAATTGCATCTTCAAAGTCACATCTTCATATGAACATAATCCAAAACGTTGAATAATAGTTTTGTGCACTTTGAATGGCAAATATTGTGGTTAGGACTGCAGATAGGGATCCTTGTACGTATGAAACTGAGAGGGGGGCTAGCAGTGAGCGATTGTGAACTTTTTCATTGCTTTTGATACATTATGAAAATACCGTGAAATTGTTTCACCGGATTGTTGGAATTGTTCTTGTAGCTGCCTGTTTGGCAGGTTTTTAAGCACATAAATGCATATTGCAACACTCTCCTCAACGTGCAAGCCGTGCGCAAGCTCGGGTACACACAACTGGAAGTCATTTACCAATGTAGCACATAACCGAGTGAACACATGTTTGGGCATGCACAATTCATATCGGAATAGGCCACTGTGCAATCCATGTCCGCCCTATCAAGATGGAATTCTATGCACTTCAACATAAGCATAGTTCAATTCATTCTGCCACTATGTTGCGAGTGCAGCGAAATCATATAACATTTGATTCATCCGTGCACCGTCGTCGTCGTCATCGTCATCGTTCATCTCTAGTAAAAATACGACCACAATAGGTTAGCACAAGTTCATTTGTTGTAAAGATGGCATTATATGATGAATGACAATGGGCTAGACTGGGGCTCAAGATCACATTCCCCGTCCCCAATCCCTGAATATAAAAAACTCTTTGTCCCTACCCCCGATCCCTGACAGGAGCCAGTGAAATTTTGTGAATCTTATGTTTTACAAATATTTTCAAAAATCACTACCAACATGTTTTCAGAATTTCATTGATATGATTAATCCCTGAAAAATCCTCAACATCACCATCTTCCCAAGAAGACAGAAAGGGAGAAAACCCAGGAGAGAACCCAGAATGTCAAATGCTCATACTCATCAAATGCTCTATAATTGTATCAATCCAAGAAGTACAAAACCCAAGAAGTATCAACCCAAGAATTATAAAACCTCATACTCATCAAATGCTCTGTAACTGCATCAATCAACAAGTATGAAAACAAATCAGAATGTCAAATCTATCATATACCCACTTGCAAATTACTTCTAAAGACCCCAATGATCCAAATTTTCAAAGAAATCTGAAACAAGAATTTTCACACATCTTCAAAAAACCCCAGAAACTTTCAAGTTGTGAACAAATCTAAAATGGGCATTTGACAAATCCATATCAAATACCATCAGGGAAGACTAGAAAAAACTTCAAATTTGGAAGAAATCCTAAAATTGTTATGCTGTAAAATAGAAGAAAATAAATTTTAAATTTACCTACACTGTCTTTAAAGAGCCTTTGCCAAGGATTTCATCGTACTACAAAAAAAATAAAATAAAAACAAACAGAAACGAGAGAGAGAGAGAGAGAAGAAAACCATTAAAACGTAGTCTAACCCATCTGTAAATCTGAAAAGCTCACCAAACGATGAGTGACGCGAGATTGAAGGAGAGATGAGATAAGGCAAAGAAAGGCAGATCCGAGGTAGTTTCGAAACCAAATCTAAGGTGGCAAAGTCCATATCTGAAGCGGAAGAGGGCAGCAGATTCTAGATTTGAGTCGTCATCATCATCACAGAAAGAAAGATGAGAACGAGATAGAGATTGGTGGTGCTTCGATCGACGACAGTGGAAATCAGAGATGGGCGCGGAGAGAAATGAGATGAAAGACAGTTTGTATTGTCTGTGAGGTAAGGTTTGGTTTATATATGTGTATATATATATATATATATATAAAGGGGTATAACGGTAATTTCAGTTCTGGGAAAATGGGGATGGGGACCGACCGAGGCTGGGGCCGGGGAACGTATCCCTGTCCCCGGCTCGAAAATGGTCGGGGATTTATTTTCAAATACCATTCCTGGCCTATCGGAGGCATTTTCAGGAAAAACCCATTCTAATAGGGATTGGGGAGTCGAGTCCCCGTCAGGTTGGTTTCAAATTGCCATCCCTACATTATATACAAAGTCCTTGGTATAAACAAAATTTTTTTTTTTAATATACAAAATGGGTTTGCACATAACATTGGAAATAACCAAATGGAGAAATGGAAAGCCTTACCGCATATGCTATCTAAATAATTGGTCAAACAGAACTTTACAAATATTCATGTGTACACAAACACACATACCAAAATCTGAAATGCAAAAATTCCAAAGCTGTTCATAATGGGTATTGGGGAAAAAATTTGCCTACCACAAATTAAATTAACATTGCATCAAATCCTATACAAATCATGGTTACCACAAACAGGTTTTTCAAACAAAAAACTGTTTACTTGGCCAGCTAGGCCATCTCCTCTGCGCAATCAACACAAAAAACCAGCAAAGACAATACACCTTTTGCATAACTCCATACGATGTGAATAAACAAACTGAAATAAAAAAAAAATTAAATTAATAAACCAAACCACCATGTCCAGTGTTGACATGTAGCAGTTACATGTCCCAGTCTTCAGTTGGTGCAGCAATAGTAAAATACAACCAAGAGGGAAAGAAGAAAAAATGGTCAACAGACACAACAACGTTCAAGTAAAAATAAACAAAGTCGTTGGAGTTGTTGCTTGAGTAGATTTAAAAGCGAAGTCCTTTATTACGCAACAAACTCACAAGAGTTACACCTCCACTCCTTTCTTTGTCTGTTTTCTTTGCCTGCAGCCACATGATAATGCCTTGGTCCGTGGGAATACTCATAAGCATCTCCCTATTGTTCGGTAGCTCCATAAGCATCACTCCGAAATGGAGAAGTGGATAGGTGGGTCCACTCCCTATATTTCATACAGTTGTGCAATAGCTTGCCCATTGTGTAACTGTGCGTGCCAACAGTGTGGTTAACAGTTAGTTCCTTGCTTTGTGCCTTCACTAAATTTACCAAGTCATCTGTAACACACAGAAATAAATCATAAATCCAACCAAGAACATACATGAATAACAGTATGAATCAGAATGTAATGTTCTTGCATTTCATAGAGTTGATAGTACAAAAGAGTTTAGCAAAAGTAAATGCCCTATACACTTACAACTTTCTCAGTCATGGCTTGGTTACAACAAAAGTAAAACTAGCTCAATAAAAATAAAGGCCGTGGCTATAAAAAAAAAAATATACAACAAAATGAAGCCTTTGCTCCAAAGTCCCTCCAAACTATTGCCTTGGCGGAGGCATATCACCAGCACCTAAAAATAATTTTTCCCAAGTAGGGTGTGCCAAAGCCCAGTAGAAACAAACTAACACAATATATGGATCTTAACAAATAGGAATGGCAACGGAGCGGGGCGGGGCGGGGCGGGGCCGGGGATCACACTCCCCGTCCCTGATCCCCGATGGTCAAAATTTCCCCGGCCCCGGCCCCGATCCCCGACGGGGAGCCTATTACCACCCCCGCCCCCGCCCCCTAACGGGGATTGGGTTTCCCCAACCCCGAAGATTCCCCGGTCAAAAAAAAAAAAATTCAACATAGATCTGAAACATTCACACAAATCGCACCCATACATAGATCTGAAACATTCACAGATCTGAAACATAGATTTTCATCATCAACAACAGCATTCACAGATCGCACAGATCGGAAAAATTAATACAGATCCAAAACCCAACAAATCATACAGATGGGAAATCAGATGCAAAAAATAAAAAATCAGAAATATTCACACAGAGAGAGAGAGAGAGAGAGGGGTCAAGAACAAACACAAGCATGACATCGGCGATGAGAGAGAGAGGAGGAGGGAGATCGGCGGGGAGCCTGAACAGAGCTATCGTGGCCAGCCTCTTAGGGCTGTGGTTGCGACAGTGTTTGGAGAGGAGGGAGGGTCTCGTTCGCCGGTCGAACTGAGGAAGAGGAAGAGGGAGATCGGCGAGAGATCTGCGGGTAGAGAAGGGAGATCGGCGGGGAGAGAGAGAGGAGGAGGGAGATCGGCGAGATCGGCAGGGAGACGAGGGAGCTCGGCGGGGAGAGAGACAGAGAGGGACGGTGTGACTCAGTGAAATGAATGAGAGGTTATGTGTGTTTAGGGTTTGATAAATATATATATATATATATATATATATAGGGATAGAATAGTAATTTTGTATCGGGGAAACGGGGCCAGGGACCGGGGAACGGGGCCGGGGCCGAGGACGGGCCGGGTACGGGGTTGAGACACCTATCCCCGGGGCTGAGACACTTATCCCCGTCCCCGGCCCGAAACTGATCGGGGATTAATTTTTGAATACCATCCCCTCCCCGTTGGGGATATTTTTCGAGGAAAAACCATTCAAATCGAGGTCGGGGGGTCGGGTCCCCGTCGGGCCGGGTTTAAATTGCCATCCCTATTAACAAAGATATAAGTATGACATGCCTATATGTAGACACCTTATTTTTGACTGCCCTTAAGACTTAGGCCCCACTGATTGTTTACTTGATAGTGCAGACTATCTAGTGCAAAGATTTGATTTCTTTGGCAAGGAGAGCGTCAAATCCCAAACCTCACACCCCATTTTTGGACCAAAACGTTTTTTACCAAAAATATTTTTAGACCTTAAAACCCTCTCTTTCAAAATATTTTTGAAACAAAGTTCCTACGATGTTTCGAGGCTCGCATTTCGTTAAATGTTGCATTTTTCGGTAAACCAAGCAAGGACAAAGTGGAATGAATGAAAGAGAGGTGAACTATTTGAAAAATCTTTAAAACATCTTGTTTAGGGGTTTGATTTGAAGAAAATGGGAGGAGAGGGAAGAAACTTAGTTGGAGGAGAAGATGAACATGAACCGTTAAGAGAGAGAGTCAGGCAGCCTTCGTTAAATCGGGCCTATCCATTTGTACACTTGGATTTCAGATATGAGGCCATCACTGTTGGAAATTGGACTTCTGGTGCTTCATTTTACACTCAAGAATCTCCTAAAGCCGCGTCCAGATGAGGGAGATATGGCTGGTTGAAGTTAGGCATTAATCCGATTGGACTGAAACTGAGCAGTCTTCACTAAAAGAGGGATATCTCTTAGGGTACTTGGAATTTTGATGTGTGGCTTCCACCATTGGAAATAAGACTTCCAGGACTTCAGTTTAGGCTCAAGAATGACCTAAAAATGAGTCCAAATGAAGGAGTTATACTTGTTTGAAGTCGGGGACAGGGACCAGTTTTTGCTGTCAGCCACTGGGGGAGTGTGCCGGCCATAGGTCAGCCAAAACTGACCCTTGTCTGCCACCATTAGTTACTGGTCGACCAACAATGTGGCCGGTCAACCAAAAATGTCCAGAAAGCTCAGAATTTGCAGATATTTCTCCTCCAGCTGTCCTACACTGCTCCAGCTGTCTCTAAATCAGATAGTTCGACCTGAGGCTTGTGTATTGCTATATATAGAGGCCATCTCTCTCATATTGGAAGGTGAGAAATTTTGGGAGTCTTTCTCTCTAAAATCTCTCTCTCTCTCTCTCTCTCTCTATAATCCTCTCTCTCTAGATTTCTCTTTCTTTTGAGCATTTGTGCTTAAAAGTTTGTATACTTCCAACTTTAATGTACTAACCCTTAACCAAAGTGGTTCATCCTTGGGCTGAGGTTGCTTGAAGCTCTCTTGGAGCCTCCTTTGAGCTCTAAAATGGTGGTTCAAGCTCAGATTTGTGCTTATTGTGTGCTTTGCTTCAAAGGTATAGAACTTATCCCTTTTTAGCTTATTTTGCTCACTTGTTTTGCCACCTTTGCAAACTGTTTTTGGCCTGGTTTTCAACTAC